CATGTGTTTCTCATTTCATTAAGCATAAGGCTTAGGAGTGGAATGCTAGGTTATATACTCAGTCCGTGTTTACCTTTATAAAAACTGGCAAAATTTCTCACTGACTGGTTGTGCCATTTTTATGGCATCTAGTGACATATAAGAACTCAAGTTGTGGGGCTAGAGAGATATCTCAATGATAAGAGCTCTTACTATTCTTGCAGAGGGCCTGGGTTTGGTTCCCAGCACCTACATGGCAGCTCACACGTGTCTGTAACTTCAACTCCAAGGGATCAGATGCCCTCTTCTGGCTTCTGTTGGCTCCTGCATGCATGTGGTGGACATAAACTCACAAACATACACATAAAAGGAAATAAATAAAATTCTTAAATGTGCTCATTTCCCCATATTTAGACAATTATTAGTGGCATTGGTATCTTCAATTTTAACTATTCTAGGGGGCATAATGGGCTCTCACTGACTGTTTAGTTTGCATTTCCCCGATGATTAAGAATGCTGAGAGACTTCTCATACATTTAGTTGCTGCTTGTCTATCTTCCCTCTGCAATATCTATGGTTTTCACTATTTTCAAATCATGTGTTTTTATAGGTTTCATATGTTCTGAATAGAAATTTTTAGTATTCTGGGACTCATCTAATCTTCTTTTTGTGATCAGATGTTAATTTTAATTATTAATTCTTTAACTGTGGGGTTATTGTTTCATGTGTCTAGTCTATGTTTTATTTTATTTGTTGTAATTTTATGGTGGGGTAGTGTATGTATATAATGTGTTTATCTAATTCAAGGCACATACATGCAACAGCATGTGTGTAGAGTCAGAAAATGACTTGTGAACATCACTTTTCTCTTTCCATCATCTCTCCTTCCACCATGAGTTCCATGGATCAAATTCTGGTCATCAGGCTTGTGTAACAAGTACTTTTACTTTCTGAGATACCTCACCGGTTCTATGTGTCTTACCTATGAAATCTTGGCTTATAACAAGGTTCTGAAAATAGTACCCTATGTTTTCTTCCAGGAGGTTTAATTTTTCTATTTTTAACAATAACTCCTATGGGCACTTGGATTACTTCTGTGATACCATGGCACATAAATGAAAGCCAACTTTCATGTAGTTTTAAGTTCAGCACTGGTGTTAACATGATTTTTTTTACTGCTTCTTTCATTAGTACCTTTGTCAAAAATAAATTTGCTCCATCTCTGGACTCTTCAAACTACTTTATGAATATGCTTTAGGTATGAACCAGTGACACATTGCCCAAATGGAATAGCTTAACAGTTTTTTGCTTTTAACTAAGTAATAGAATTACTCCACATTTGTTTTTTCCTTCAATATGTTTTGAGTTTTCTGGAAGGAACATTTACAGTTCTATACATAGTTTATAATCATCATTTCAACTTTTATTTTAAAGCTTGTTGGTACTGGATTGATTCTTCAAATGGAGAAGTATAAAAAGTTGACCATTACTGCAGGCTTCAACTAATTTAGACAATCCATCTCTCCAGAAGCAGCAATGCTGGAGACATCATGTTACCTGATCTCAAACTGTGCTACAGAACCCAAGTAACAAAGGAAAATGTGGTACAGGCACACAAATAAATACAGACACATATGGGATGGAGTAGAAGACCCAGAAATTCTACCACATGGTAAGTCCACCTTATTGTTGACAAAGGATCAAAAACAAGCATTGGAAAATAATGCAGCATCTTTAAATATAGTTCTTAAAAAACTAGATATCCTCATGCAGAAGATGAGATTTAATCCGTATCTCTCATCCTGTACAAGCATCCATTTAAAATGGAACAAAGACCTTAATGTAAATCCTTAAACCTTAAAACTGCTAGAAGAAACTACTTCAAGACATGGGCTTAAAAAAAGACTCTCTATAAAAATGCTACAATACCTCAAAAGATGAAGTTACCCAATTTTAGCAGTGTTTTCCAAATACAAGTGTAGTCTGTCAATGGACTTCTGTTTGTATATTTATTTTCTTATTTTGGTCATTTTCATTGGTATTTCTAAGGTAGAAATGTGCAATTAAATTTCAAAATATTTTTAAGATAATCATTTAAAACTACAATTGTCTGTGCCCATATCACTTTAGTTATGTATCACAGAATTTGATAATTTATATTTTTATACTTATTACATTGTTAAGATTTCTAACTCCCATGTGCTGTTTCCTTTGATCTATGGTTTATTTAGCCATGTGGTATTTAATTTCCAAGTATTTAGGACTTTTTTTGATACTAATACTGATGTCTAGTCTGTTGTAGTTCAAACATTTAAGTGTGTTAAAATATATTGACAATTGTTTTTATAACTCAGAATAAAATATACACTATTGAACAGACTTTGTGTTATAGAAAGGAATGTAAAGCTATTGTTGTTAAATTAATTATTATATAAATGCCAGTTAAGGTAAAGTGGTTGACAATGCTTTCAGAGTTTTCTTATTGGTTAGTGAGTGTGGAGGGGGGGGAGTATGTGAACTTATCAGTTATTGAGAGCAAAGTGCTGAAATTTTCAGTTATGATGCAATTTGTTCCTGTTTCTCCCTCTCATTGTCTAAGTGCAGGTTTCATATCGTGACCATAATTGTTACAACTGGTGTGTCTTCTCAATAAATTGAAAGTTGCCTTTTAGTGTTCTAAATCGTCTTTCATGTGTTTGGGGGTCTGGTCATTGTTTTGGATTTTTGTCTCTTCCACTCTTTCACATGGGACAATTGACAATCATCGACCTCCATGTTCAGTGACCTTTGCTGCCACTTTGAATGACTATTGAGCTGACCTAGTGGTCTCTCAGTGCTGTTTTATTGTAGATGTAAAATATAAGGAATCCAATATATTTTGATAAACATGGTGACAGTTACAATACGTAACTGTCATCTTGCATAGTTGCCTGTTTTTGTGCATAGTAAGAGAATCTAAAAATGGATCCCAGAGGAAACATGAGGAAAATTTTAATAAAGTTTGAGAGGAATAACAATAGGCTAGGCAAGCTGAAAAGTCTCAGAAGCTATGAAGAGAAAGAGGGAATGGAGAAAAAAAGGCATGTTTTTTCAAATTTAGGAATGGAAATCTAAGAAACAGTGTGAAAGTCCCATGTCTGGAAAAGCATGCCTTTGAATGGTGTCAGAGTTGAAAGGGTACCCCATTCCAGAGTCTGCTATCACAGGTCGAAAGGTTACACCACAGACACATGGTTAAAATTGAAGTAGAGACAGTTTATTAAGAAAGGGAAAGAACTCTCAAGAATGGGAGTGGTCTGGAGAGCTTAGGTAGGAGCCAAAAGTAATAGGTCGTGAGGTGTACAGCCCTTTATGAGCCTCTCCCCTGCATATAGCGTGGGCTTTTGGAGCATGCTCTGCTGTGGGATGCTCTGTATGTTAAATGTGTTGCTCTGATTGGTTAATAAATAAAACACTGATTGGCCAGTAGCCAGGCAGGCAGTATAGGCGGGACAAGGAGAGAGGAGAATGCTGGGAAGTGGAAGGCTGAGTCAGAGAGACGCTGCCAGCCACTGCCATGACAAGCAACATATAAAAGATACCGGTAAGCCACAAGCCATGTGGCAACTTATAGATTAATAGAAATGGGTTAATTTAAGATATAAGAACTAGATAACAAGAAGCCTGCTGCGGCCATACAGTTTATAAGCAATATAAGTCTCTGTGTGTTTACTTAGTTGGCTGAGCAGCTGTGGGACTGGCAGGTGAGAGAGATTTGTCCTGACCGTGGGCCAGGCAGGACTGGAAAATTCTAGCTACAATGCTCTGTTCCTTAAATGAAGCCCAAGTGAAGGACTTCTCACACACATTAGTCTTGATGTTTTAGCCTTCAGCCTCTATTCTCCTGTCACTATGGAAGTAGAAGGCCCTCAGAGCAAGCATGGCCCTGTCCCCTGTAGGCTGGAGTGGAGTATGAGCAAAAGATGTTACATGATAAGCAAGCAGGACTCTAGAAAGGTACAGATTATGGTAAGTGCTGTGAGGGAAAGAAAGAGTTCTGAAAGAGAAGACATCTACTGATCAAAGTTTTCTAAGTTTCTTGTCATCTCTCTGATGACACCTGGTAGATGAAGGGGATGGTGACAAGATACAAATTGTCACCAAGCACATGAAATGTCCTGCACAAAATTCCCTAGGCTGCAAGAACTCAAAGACAACCACTACCACCCCCGCCCCCCCCAAAGAAAAGAACAGAAAGACCTCAGTTCACGTAGGGTTAGTCTGAAAAGTAGCAAGGAGTGGACATTAGTTCTGGCTAGCCTCAATTTACAATATGTTACTCCTCCATTTTCAGTCAGTTCTTCCTACTTTTGTTTCATGTGTCTCCCTCTCTACCTTTTAAGAAGGTGCTAGGGATTGAAATGCTCAAACTCACTGAGCCAATCCCCTGGCAACCAAGCATGATGTCTCGAGAATCAGGATGCTAGTTCAAAGTCTCTTTCTCACCTATCTCTCTTTACAGCAACAATGCAAACTCAAACATAGATGCAGCCCTAGTTGGACAGCCTTGAATAGTCTGCAGGTTCATATGGTGTTTGTTATGAATTAACGGAAGACATGAGCAACAAACATCTCCCCACCCCAGATAGAGCACTAACAATAGACTAAAGAAGTTATTTTACCCAAGACTTCCTTGGTGAGCCAATGAGTTTATTGGACTTAGCTATAGGAACAAAGGGCAGGGGTTGCTAACAGGAACATAAATGGCCTAGAAACAGCTGCATCACAATAAAATCCACTCCATTGTGGGTGACAGCCTCACAGAAGTTGCATCATGGAGTCCCCCCTTCAGTTAAACTTTCCTCACCATATTCTCTAGCGACCACCAAGGCCACAAGTAGCTGGGGATGGGGTGGGTGGGGTGCATGTGCAGTAAGTGGTCCATGGTGAGAGTCTGACTACCCTTCCTTCGTCATCTCTAGTACTAGCTGACACCAGCTCCATCATTAGTACATTATCCATCAGTATCTTGTTCTGCTTACCCTGTTGTCATGATGATGGACCACGCATTCTGCAGGCCTTCACAACTTCAATTCCATTATGACTGCTGATCAAGTTGCACCTGGAAGAAATATATATTCCTCAAGACAAGGCCTAGACAGAGCTCCAGGTCCAGTGTGGGGATGGGGATCTAATTTTCAACAGATAGGCATGGGTAGTGATTCTCCCTACTAATACACAGACTGTAAGAGTTCAGCTTTGGTTTTTAAAAGGCTAAGGGAAAAGCAGATTTAAAGTATTGAAAGGCAAGTCCTGCTACCCATGGGTGCGGTGACTGGTGGGCTGGGCCGTGGCTGGCATGGCGAGGTGACTGAAGTACATTAAAAGAGAAGAAGAAAAAAATCCAGTCAATACAAGAATGATAGTCCAGGGAAAGAGAAAGTACCCCCAACCCAAGCTCCTTTAGCATTACTACTGCACACACAGGAACACATCAAGGCAGGTAGAGACCACCATATCCACTTAGATAGTAACAACCAATTATAGGCAAGAAGGAGGGCCAGAAGGTAGGAGCCTTAATTATGTGCTAGGCATTGTTGCCAAACTCCAGAAGTGAAATAAACATGACCATGACCTCAAAAAGGAGATGAAAGCTATCAATCAATAATGACGACAGTTCTGAAATTTAAACTGTGATATGAAGAACCTGACAGTCCAAAGCATTGTGTGGCTTTGGGCATGTTAATCTCTATGAATTATAATCTCCTTCTTTGGCTGTTGGTTGCTATAGTAATTAAATAAGACAATGTATGAAAATGTCTTGGCGTATCTGTGCCTTGTAATAGACTTGGTTACCATTGAGAAGAATGAGAGTTTTGCAGTTGTCCAGGCCATGGCTTGTTGTTTGTTTTTTTTTTTTTACTCTTTTGGGGGGCCCACCACCCAGTTCCCAAATAAATCACAACCAGAGGCTTATTCTTACTTATGAATGCCTGGCCTTAGCTTGGCTTGCTTCTTGTGAGTTTTCCTTAACTTAACTTATCCCACCTACCTTTTGCCTCTGGGCTTTTCCCATTCTGTAAATCTTACTCTTACTGTGTAGGCTTGCTGTGTAGCTGGGCAGCTGTCCCCTGGAGTCCTCCTCTTTCTATTGATACTAGAGCTCACCTCCCGGATTTCTCCTTCTATATATTCTCTTGCCTGCCATCCCCACCTATCCTTTCTCCTGCCTTGCTAATGGCTGTTCAGCTCTTTATTAGACCATCAGGTGTTCTAGACAGGCACAGTATCACAGGTTCACAGAGTTAAACAAATGCAACATGAGCAAAAGTAACACCCCTTAAACTAACACTCCTGAACAGAGGCACCATCTTTTGTGCATTGCTCTTGGAACACTGCTGAGAGCCCTCCTTGGTTTTGTCTGTGGAAATGCAGATTGCACAAGTGTTAAGGGATCCAGCCACAGGCTCAGATTTCCTGGCAGACACCTCATCCTTCCCCTAACCTAGTGCAACACTAGGAAATGGGTGCACACCCAGATCTGTGCACAGCTCTAGGGGTTTCAGAGCTTGTCAAGTAACCAAGTAAAATTTAATAATGACAGCTTCTGTTCTGCATGCCTCTGACCCCAGGCATACAAGGACTGTTAACATACTGTACACGGACTTCCTGAAAGTGTTCCGAGTCACAAAATTAAGCTTACGGGAACAAGGTATTTAAAAACCATTGAAAGCAAACGTTGAAGGGCCTTTTAAGATTCGGTATGGATTTTCCCACATACATTATTTGGTAAATGGGAAATTGTCAACACTTCTCAGTGTGTCTCATGGGAAATCCTCCCATTGCATATGATTTTGATCACTTCATGTTAAACAAATGAAATAAACTCTATACTTCTGTCAGTGTGCATTATATTTAAGCATATATGGCTTCCTTGACCTACCTTTAGCTTCTCTTCAAATACAAATTGCAGAAAGTGTAATGTGACTACAATGTGTCAGTCATAACACACTGGCTGTGAGGGTACAACCAGCTTCTAGAAACCACACCAGGGACAAAAAGCACAAACATCTCCACAAAAGAAATTTGGCATTAACAAAAAGTAGGTAACAATTGTCTTCGGAAAAGTAGGCCTTAGCTAAAAGTACTCACCATTACTAAATAAATGCAGAACCTACTACAAGGTTTGACACGCGTGGGTACTTCTCTTGGTAGATCTCAGTATTAGTTCCTCCGGTCCTTGCTTGTCGCAAAAGCAGTTATTTGAAGGAGAAGTTTAGAGTTCAAGGGGACAATTTCGCGTGGTGAAAAAGCATGGTAGAAGTTGGTTCTAGCTGTGACAAAGGGCACCTGAAGCCACTGCTCATGTTACAGTCACAGTCAGGAAGCAGAAAGTGGTGAGTGTCGGTCCTCAGTTGACTCCCTCCACTTTCTCTCTGATTCATCCCGGGACTCCAGCCTCCACGGGACAGCGCTGCTCACAGTTAGGGTACATCTCCGTTCCTCAGTTAACCCACTCAGCAACAGCCCTCACAGACAAAGCCAGAGCTGTGTCTCCTAGGTGATTCAAGGCAAGTCGGGTTGGCAAAAAGAAGTAACCATCCATCACAGGCCAAGCTACTCCTGTGTTAATTAACTCTCCGTCATTGTGGCAAGCTGACTGAAAACAATCAACTTAAAGATTTATTTTGCTTGTGGCTTCAGAGATTTCTATCCATAGTGCCTTCATTCTGTTATGTTGAGTCTTGGAATAAGACCACCACAGCAGCAGGAGCATGGGGTGGAAGAGACTGCTTACCTCATTTCACCTGGGAAGGAAGGAGGTGAGGGACTGGGACAAGATACCTCAGCATAGTCTCCAGCAACCTATTCCTTTCAGCTAGGCCCTCCTTGCTAATAGACTAATCAGCTACCAGTGCACCCACATGTCTCTTCGTAAAGTCAGAGCCCTCGTGACCCAACCCCATTCAAGGCTCCAGCTCTGAACATTGCTGCATTGAAAATCATGACTTGAGGGAAATTTCAAAACTACTAACACTCTGGTCACAGATCCAAATGCCTGCATTGTTTAGCTTATGTGGATAGCTTTGTTAATATTTATCCTCATATTGCTGGATTCTCCAGAAAAATCCAAAGCATTCTTTTGAAATCAAAAGTTTTTGGAGGAAATAGTTTTTAAACCCAAAAGCAGAGCCTCTTCAAACCTTCTTTGTGGGAAGTTATCCTTACAAATAGCTTCACACTTGTGGTGCCTTTCTTGGGGACCCGGAACTCACAATCACTTCTTTGTTACACAAAGGTGGATTTTTTTTTCCACTGAAATTCCCTTTGAATTTAAACTTCTGTACAATATAACTGCCTACAAGGTAAATCATTAGCCTATGGGAAAGGATTACACAGAGTAGGCTCTGTGTCGTGATGTGTGTAGATGAGGCTCTGTATTAGGATGTGTGCAGACAGGCTCTGTATCATACGTGTGCAGACAAGCTCTGTGTAGGGATGCAGACAGAGTAGGCTCTGTGTTGGGATGTGTGCAGACAGGCTCTGTACCATACATGTGCAGATAAGCTCTGTGTTGGGATGCAGACAGAATAGGCTCTGTGTTGGGATGTGTGCAGTTGAGGTTTGGTATCAGGATGTGCTCACTAACCATGCAGGGAGAAGAGGAACATGGCTTCTTATTGCTTGTAAAGGCAAGAAACATGCCTTCCTACCCTCTTCTTTCTTCTATTTGGTGAACAATTAAACTCATTCATTGACTAATTTCCTAAGGTGGATTATTTAGGGACATTTATTAATGGTAATCAATCTGGTTAATAGAATATCCTGTAAACCAGGTGCCATGTTTGGCCAATAAATAGAAAATCAGTACAGCCAGAAAGCACAAACTGCATGAACTTACAGAATTCCTGTACAATGTCCAGATGTATAAGCCATTTTTTTTCTTTGACAACATAAAAGAATGAAAGAAAAAGAGAGAAGGGCACCCAAAAAACAAAGATATTAAAAATTCTGCCCTCCAACAAATCTGTCTGAGGCACAAAAGTTAAGTAGCTTGCAAGGCTGTTTGATTTTGTTCATATTTATATCATTAATAATAAATGTGGTTGTGAGAATCACATGGGCTTTTCCTTTCTCAGAACTCCAGTTACCTGGGGCCTGTGCACAGAACACAGGAAGGTATTTGGTTTTCCCTCATGTTGAATGGCAGCTGAGCGTTTGGCCAAGCTTTGTGGAGCACTTGCATGAGGTGATCATCAGGGCAAGCTGACCCTTTGCCCTCAGTCACCAGCCCACCACACTGCAGGGGGAGACCTGAAATCTCCAGATTTTCTTCAGAAAAGCTCCTGTGGATAGAAACTCCCTCAAAGCACTCTATGAAGGGCCGCCTCTCAATAGCCCTCCAGTTGTGAAGAGAGTGGAATGAGTAATAGATTCCTGAGCTTGTATTTCTCTCTTCCGTATTATAATATCTCAGAGAAACTCTGATTTAGACAAACTGGCTCCTGTTCTGAAGATCTGCTTTTAGTTTTAATCCAGCTTTTCAGTCAGACTTCACTATTGGTGGGAAGGCACTGCTGCTAGCCAGGGCTGAACGTAAGATTCCATTAGGGAAGTGGCAAAGCGTTGGTAAGTCAAGTCCGTGAGGCCTGTGGCAGTAACTTACTCTGTCTGTGGTTTCTACTTTGTCAGACTCTGTGGAGCCATGAATCTATCTTGTCCTTAAAAAACTGAAAGAGGGGGCTTTTAAAATAAATGTAATGCTAAATTTATGTGCCCCGGGAGCAGCGTATCAAGGCCCCGGGCTGATTAGACACAGATGTGTGTAACAATGTCCGTGTTATGGGCCAACTGCAGGTGTGGGAATTGATCCTTCCCTGGGACCCTCAGCAATCAGCCCAGTGGTTTCCCCTGGCTCTCAGTTTGGAGTTTTCAATTAATACTACAATGGTATTGTTGTTCTCCTGTATTAGATCATATGTCATGTAAATGAACTTGAATATACAGTTAAACCTGACAAGGTGATTTAGGCCAAGAATACATGTGTTCATTATTATAACTTGATTGAGGTTAAATAATAATAATAAAAAAAGCCCTGACATGCTATAACATTTTTATTAT